GGATCTGACAGAGCATCAGACGGGGCCAGTGACCCTCCCGTACGACCTTGTACCTACTCCAGGGCTGGGCCGAGGGTAGTTTATCTGCACCATTGACTCAGTATAGTTGAAAAACCCGCCACCTGCACAGATGTTTTTGAAAGGAGAGACATAGAAGTGTCCCCCTCCCCCGTAATAAATGGTGAGAGTCCCAGTCTTTCTCACTGCCTTTCCTTGGAGCCATGTTAGAAGAGAGTAGCGTGTCCCACACTGGTCTGCACTGGTTGCTGAATCACCTGTACTCCTAACTGTTGTATATGCTGCGTTTAGACTCACTCACGGCAAAGAAGGCATTTTCTTAAAGGAAACAAACTCAACAAATCATGAAGCTCTGTAAAAGCTCCAAACGCCTACACAGCTCTGAATTCAGGTCCCAGTTGCTGTCACGAAGGAGTGAATGGACTGGCACCGCCCTTTTGTAGAATAAAGTGCCTTAGCATGCGCTGCAGCCGTCACCTCTACAGGAAGCTGGTTTACAGGTGTTCTCCACAGAGCGTCTCAATAAAGAGTCCGCGTGCTACAAGCCCTGTGTCTGGTGGTGTCTGTGCCGCAGAAGGTGGCTCGGAAGGGACCGTGTTTCTGCAGCACCTGGTGTGCGTCTTGGAAGCTTGCAGTGCAGCTGGGGCCCAGCCTGGCTGGGTGGCTTCTGCAAAGGAGCGAGGCAGGCTGGGCCAGGTTCAAGGGAATGAGCATCTCCTGTAGGCCTAGCTCCTTAGTTACTGAGCCACCTGCCAGGTGCTTGACACTGAGCCAGCACACGGTAGACACAAGGCCCAGGCACTAAGTCCAGGGCTTCCTCACTCACCATGGTGCGGTCGGCCTGCAGAGGGGGAGGCTCCCCAGTGCCCTGGAGCAGGAGGGAGGAATTGGTGAGTGGGCCTGTGGGTATTGGAGCAGGAGGCTCTCAAAGGACTGTCAAAGCTTCGTTCATTCATCTTTTAACAAAGGCAGAGCGTAGACACCAGACCCCTTGCTTACCAGAAGTACAAGGGCAGTGGAGGCGACCAATGTCCCTGCAGTTGCAAGGGGCAGGGGGTTCCTCCTGACACGAGGTCGTGCAGCAAGCCCTGGGCCGCAGCTGGACCAGCATGGTTGCTAAGGAAAGCCGTTTGCCTCTGGACAGGACATTGCCCAGGCCTCCGACGGTCGACCTGTCCAGCCTCTGAGCAGGCGCGCTTGCTCCCCTGGGGAGGGAGCAGCAGAGATGCCATGAGGGGTAGTGGCACCAGGTCCCAGAGTGTTTGGGGGGCTGCCACTTCCATTCAATAGCAGGTTTTCCGGGCTGCACAACGGAAAACATTCGTCATCACATCAGATGCTCCCGGGCTGGGTTTCAGCTTCATCACTTCATTGCAACCTTGAACAAGGGCTGTGAAAGCTTCTATTTTTTGGTTAATCCTCACTCAGGGATATTTTTCCATTGATTTTTAGATAGAGTGGAAGGGAGGGACGGGGAGAGAGAAAGAGAAACATCGATGCGAGAGAGACACATCAATTGGCTGCCTCCTGCACAGCCCCGACCGGGGCAGGGGATCAAACCTGCAGCCCAGGTTCATGCCTTTGACTCAGAATCGAACCCATGACCCTGTGGTTCGCGGGCCGATGCTCTAACCAATGAGCCAAACCAACCAGGGCTCTTTCTTTGTTTAAAGATTTTTATTGATTGATTGGTTTTCTATATTAATTTTAGAGAAAAGAAAGGAGAGAGAGAAACATCAATTTGCTGTTCCACTTACTGATGCATTCGTAGGTTGATTCTTGTATGTGTCCTGACTGGGGATCAAACCTGCAACCTTGGTGCACAGGCTGATGCTCCCAGCAGCCGAGCTGCTGGCCAGGACTGAGGTGGAGTTTTCTGACACCTGGAGCCGACAGGGAGTTGGGGGGAAAGGGGGTTGGCAGAGGACTTGAGGGTTTCCAGGGTTTCTCCTCGGGGGAATAGCATGGTCCAGAAAAGACCGAACAGGACCAGTCCGGCCCAGCGCCCTCACGTTTTGGGCAAGTCCTTCCACCTCATCGGAGCCTTGCTTTCTGTTTTGAAACGTGTCAAATGTTTTCATCACGGGGCTGCAACAGTTACGATTATCTGTGTGAAGATGCTTTGCAAAGTATGAGGGACTCAGGAGCTGTTATTTCTTTTCCATTAAATTTGGGCTTTTTAAGGATTTATTTTTTTGTTGTTGGTTCAGGGTCAGCGTCTCTCTCCCTCTCTCTATATTTCTCCCTCTCTCTCCCTTCCTCCCGCTCTATCTAAAGATAAATAGAAAAATATCCTCGGGTAAGGATTAAAAAAAAAAGTAAAAATGTTTATATCAGGCTACATAACAAAATTGACCACCTGATCCGTTTTTAAGGGTACAGTTCAGCAGCATCGAGTTCATTCACACTGTTGTGCAACCATCACCATCCACCCACAGAACTTCCTTGTTTTGTATGCCCTGGTCGGTTTGGCTCAGCGGTTAGAGCATCAGCCTGCGGTCCTGAGAGACCCGGGTTCGGTTCCCGCTAAGGGCATGTACCTTGGTTGCAGTTTGTCCCCGGCCCTGGTTGGTTGTGCGGGTGGCAGCCACTCGATGTGTCCCTTTCACATCGATGTTTCTCTCTCTCTCTCTCTTCCTCTCTCTCCCTCCCACTCTACCTGAACAAAAAAAAATGTCCTCGGGTGAGGATAAAAAAAAAAAAAAAAAAACCAGATTGTAAAACTATTAATCTGTCCCCATTAAACATTAGCTCTCCAAGTCCCCTCCCCACCCAGCCCCTGACAACTTTCCATCTATGACTGACTACTCCAGGTACCTCATACCTGGAGTCACACAGCACTTGTCTTTCTGTGATGGCTCGTTACTCAAGCATGTCCTCAAGGTTCGGCCACCCTGTGGCGTGTGCCGGGATTGCCCTTTCGTGGGAATCACATCCTGCCGCATGTAGACATCACTGTGTTTCTGGCTGGTCACCCACTGGTGGACACGTGGGCAGCCTCCGCCTCTGACTGCTGTGAGTCCAGCTGCTGTGACCTGGGTGGACATGTCTCTTCGAGACCCCGCCCAGTTTGGGGGTACGCGCCCAAAAGGGGAATGGCCGCTCCGGAACGTCATTCTGTGCTTCATTCCCGAGGAGCTGCTGTGCTGTTCCCTCAGTGACTGGATGCGACTAGTTTTAAGGCCTGCCGGGAGAGCAGAGGCTGGGGGGCCCCACGCGAGCTTCGGAGATGCCTGGTGGTGTGGCCTCCACAGCCCCCGCCCTGCCCGCACTCAGCCGCCTGCCCTGGGGTCTGCTGCTTGCTCCGCTAGCCCTGGGCAGAGAACCTTTCAAGTGGAAACCACTCACCTAGGTCAGTTACTCCGTTACCGGTTCTATGCTGTAACCTAACATCCGCTAACTCTGAGCAGGCGCCCGCTTCTCTTAAACACTATGCACACGTGGAAATGACACGGAGCATTCCACGCCAAAATACCAAGGTTCTGGGCCTGACTTTTATCACCTTTACACTTAGTCCCAACCCTTCCTAAGCTGACGGGGCCCAGTTTTACGACTTGAGGAAAGACAAGGGGACTGTCCCCTGGATGATGCCGGCGGCCTGGCCGCTGAGACCAGTGGCACCTCCCAGGGGGTCAACAGGTGCGAGGCGCCTGCCAGCCTGGCCACTCCGGGGCTGCAAAGACCCCTGGTTACGTGCTCGGTTCGAAGCTCCCTCCCCACTCCCACTGTCCCTCTAAGAAGGGAGGACTCCAGGGAGACAGGGTCCCTGTCCTGCAGCCCAAAACTCATGTGTCTGAGCCGAGCATCCCGCCCCGCGTGTCGGAGACCAGGCCGGGTGGGTGAGGGTGCCGCTGAGCCTCTGGCTGCTGACTCCCGCAGCCTCCACCAGGTGATGCTGGTGGCACGTGCCAGACACTTTTCTAAGCGATTCCTGGATTACTTTTCCCAGGGATGGGATTTTCTTCTCAGTGGGCTGGAATTGCTTGTTAACCAAAGATTTCAGCCACGACCCCGGCCCTGGAGCCGCGGTCATCCTGGGTGACCTTTCCTGTGACGTTGGGGGTCAAGCTGAGCCCTAGTCAGTATCACTGGATCTTGGGTCCCTAAATGGGGTGATCTCAGCTCATGTCCCTGGAGCCGAGATGCCTGCTTCTCACTCTTGTCTGGCTGCGTCGCCCCGTCCTGGTCGCTGCGCCAGGAGACTTCACTGAGGCTGCGGATGTCCGTCCGGAGGCCGTTCTGCGCTCTCGTCGCGGACCCTGTGAACCTGGACCGCAGCTCACGTGGGTATCGGATTAGTTCTGCATCTCACGCTCGTGTTTGGATGTGAAGTGAAACCAAGCTGGTAAAACCACGAAGAAGGGAGGTTACAGGAAATAAGTGACAAAAAATAACTTTTCAAAGGTCAAGACATGTGACCCTTGCTTTGAGTCTTGGCTCCTCCCTGAGTTGCCAACTGAAAGCCATGCCCTCTCCCTCACCTTGGCTTCCTCTGCTGCCAAGCCAGGCCGTACTCCTGGTCCACTCTGTGGGGTGACTGAAAGACCAAACTGTAGCCCGGCTGGTGTGGCTCAGTGGACTGAGCATCGCCCCATGGGCTGAGAGGTCCCAGTTCGATTCCCAGTCAGGGCACGTGCCCGGGTTGTGGGCCAGGGGGCGTGCAGGAGGCAGCTGATAAATGTTTCTCACATCAATGTTTCTATCTCTCCATCTCTCTCTAAAAAAATCAATAAAAATTTTTTTTTAAAAAGACCAAACTGTAGTGTGTGGTCCTTATGCAAATACTACCCAAAGGGTTATTTATTTTATTTTATTTATTTTTTATCCTCACCCAAGGACATTTTTGCATTTATCTTCAGATAGAGCGGGAGGGGAAGAGGGAAGGAGAGCGAGAGAGAGCACGACATTGACTGGTTGCCACCCACAGGACCCCAACCGGACCGGGGACGAACTGCAACCGAGGTATGAGGTACGTGCCCTTAGCAGGAACCAAACCCAGGACTCTGGTCCGCGGGCTGACGCTCTAACCGCTGAACCAAACCGGCCAGGGCTCCTTCCAGTTTCGTTATCTGTAAAACCGAATTGACAATTCCTAGAGCTGGTGGGGGAATTAAAAGCAAAGGCATGGAAGGTGCCCCGCGGGGCCCAGCACGACTCAGCCGGCGTCCACGGAGGCTGCTCTGCTCAGGCGCCAACAGGAGCCAGATGTGCTTTCCATTCTCAGACTTGTCTGTCGCTGTGACACAGTCTTCTCATAATAAGACTGTTGTCAAGAGGAAATGAACCAGGAGAGGAAACAGCAGGGCTCTCTCAGCCAAGTCCCACAAACTTCTGCATCGACACCAGCCGTCCTCCTTGGACCAGTCACCGTGATCCAAAGCTACAGTCCCTGCCGCCAGGGACAAGTTTAGAGAGAGACTGACTGAGAGCAGTCCGAGGAGCTGTGGACGCAGAGCCACGCGGTGGGCTTAGGTGCCTCCCCAGGTGCCACGGGAGCAGAGTCAGCAGGGGACAGTGGACTGTGGGGGAAGATGCAGGCGGGCTTCTCAGAGGAGGTGACGCCAGATCTGGGCTTTGAAGGATGAGCACGATTTTTCTAGGTGGCAGAAGCAAGTGCTCCGAGTGGAAGGACTAAGTTAAGCAAATGTCTGGAGACCGCACGGGTGTGGTCTTCAATGGTAGCAGGTACGCAAAGCAACCCAGGTATGCAATGAGCCTCGGGTGGGTTCGGGACCGTGCTCCTTGCTGGTGACAGAAGGGTGAGTAAGACAGGCATTTTGGGGAGTGTGGGCGAGGAAAAGAGAGGAGGGGTCTGGGAACAAGCCCGTGGGGTGGAGGGAGCCATTTGCCCAGGATCCCACGGTCTGTCCGCGGCAGGTTTCCTTCTGGAAGCCCAGGGCGGGGCGGGCTGAGCGGAGAAGGACCTGGGGGTCGGGTCCAGGGTCCCTGCTCTCCAGGCGAGCAGCAGGCAGGACCATCCTGGGGTGGTGCCTGCTGGGTGATGTGTTTGGTCAGGAGCTTCTCAGAACTTGAGCCTCTGCTTTCACTTTTGCTTCCAGGAACCTTTGCGCCTGGTTTTGCAGACACAGCCGGTAAATAAGCTGCACCGCCGAGAACAACTGGGTCTCGCTCCAGGTCAGCCGGGAGATTCTTGGTAAGTTGGGGAGGGTAGAAGCCCCCCGACCCATCTTCTCATCCTCATAGCACTTTAACACTTTCAATATGTTTTTTATTGATTTTTTTTTAGAGAGAGAGAGAGAAACATCAATGTGAGGGAGAAACATTGATCGGCTGCCTCCTGCACAACCCCTAGTGGGGATCGAACCCGCAACCCGGGCATGTGTCCCAACCAGGAATCGAACCGGGACCCCTCAGTCCACGGGATGACGCTCAGTCCACGGAGCCACAGCAGCTGGGCCTCACAACACTTCCTAAGATGAGGGTTGTTATCAGTACTTTATGGATGAGGGAAAACGGAAGCTTGGGGCAGGTGGGTATTGAGCCCGAGGGCACTGTAGACACTGGCAGAGCCCGGTGGGAGCCCAGGTTTCTGATGCTCCCTCCCTCCCCCGTGGCCCCAAACAGTGGAGAGTGAGTAGGGGACTGCTCGGCCGGGTCCCCAACTCCACCCCAGCTCGCTCAGCTCCTGGGCTACCTGAGGCGTGAGCCAGCGGCCCCAGAGGAAGGGGAATGTTGGGGTGATTTGGAGGAAGCAGAGGAGGGCAGGTGAGTCAGTCTGTTCCTTGCGGCCTGGCCACCCTGAGGTTGCGCCCCGGGGGCTGCTGTGGAGGCCGATGGGGCAAAGGATTTCTATTGAGATTTCAAGAATCCAGAGGTTGTTTCTCCCTCTCAGCTTAGTGCCAGGCCCTGTGGGGAAACTGGGGCCCCGAGAGGGGACACGGCCCGAAGGTGGCCGGGCTTTGCTCCTGTTCTGGGTGTCCCTGGGGGAGGGGAGGGCTGGGATGTCCTGCCCAAGGCCCCGCATCAGATCGGATTGCAACAGGGACCCCATTTGCTCATATCCCCCCCCCCTCTATAAAGATGTTATGGCCACAGGAAGGAGACGGGGAAATAAATGGAACTCTCTGAAATCTGATAGAACTGTCAAAAGTACGTTCAGTCAGAGGGGGTAATTTGTGTGAAATCCGAGCCGTAGTTTGATTTGTTTTCTGCCGGAAAGGGTTTTTCATCTAGATGGACAAGAGAGCCAAATGGAAAGATTCAGTTGTGTGTGAGACGGGGTGGGGGTGGGGCTGCCATGTCCCCACCATGGGACACCCCGCAGGTCGTAGCCCGCTGTGCCGGGAGCAGGGAGGGTGACGGGGACAGGGGGGCAGTGGAGGAACCGCCGGCTCCTGTGTCCACAGATGCGAAGGGTACACAGCTCAAAGGTCATTATTTGTAAAGTCTTAGGGCAAAGCCCACGCATGTAAGTCACCGTACCCTTGGCTCTTGTTACACCGATGAGTCCCTTTGCTAAGGCGATAGTTATCGGTAGTTGATAAATGCTGCTTTGCCTTCTTAAAACCACACCTAACCGCAGTCCTCGTTTGCTTTGCTGCCTCGTCTGCGAGGCGACATTGTCGCAGGCAAAACTGAGAGGAAGTCTCTCTGCAGAAAGACCTGTTTTGATCATGATGGTCCATAGAATAGAAATGATGCAGAGCGTTTTGCTATTATTATTGATTGGACTTGTTTATGTGCTCGTTGGCTGATTCTTGTACGTGCCTTACATATGTGCCTTGTAACTGAACCCGCAACCTCAGCATACGAGGTGACGCTCTAACCAACTGAGCTAGCTGGCCAGGGCCAGGGCCAGAGCGTTTTTTCACAATGAATCCCATGTGACCAGGCTGCTTTCCATTTACCTCCCTTCCCATCTGGGGAAATTCGGCCTCAACTCAGATCCCGTGGTTACAGCAAGGTCCCATCCCCAGTGGGTCCGCAAGAGACGCAACACTGAGCCTTCCTGGGAACGAGCCTGCGGCAGAGACCACACTGTCCAACCGAAAGGCCGGTCATCCACGCACCCTTCGAGCTGATTTGTGACCAAAAGGGGAAACTGTGGGTGAAAAAGGGGTTCTATACAAAGCCTCCTCACAGGGTTTTACAATCATCAATTCCTGACTGGGCAGGTCATGGTGGATAGTCACACCCCAGGCAGACACCTCTTCAGTCAGTTTGTTTTCCGTAAGCAAGCGTGCCTGGGGTGTCTGTGCATTTAGGACCACACACCTTTGAATAACGCCCTCCGGAGAGCGCAGCGTTGCTGACTGTGCAGTAACCCCCACCTCGCGCCCCCCACCTCGCGGTCCCCCGCCTCCGCATCACCTTCCTCATGCTCCCTCCGGAAGTTCAAGTGCACGAAAGAAGCGGAGAAACTGTTCTTCTCCAGAGCAGTTGAGACCTTGCTCAGCTTGACTCAAATAAACTTTTCCAGAAATTCTCCAAGAAAACACAAGTGCCTTAAGGAGGAGGGGAGTTCGGACCCGTCACAACAGGCCTGAGCCTCGACACTGTGCTAAGGGAAGTCAGCCGGGGTCCCAAAGACGGGTGCGGCGTGATCCTGTCACGGAGGTGCTCGCGGGGGGGCCGCGTGTGGTTTTGCTTAGTGGGTACAGAGTTTCCATTTCGCAAGACGAAGAGCCTTCAGGCTGGCTGCAGCCGTGTGAACGTGCCTGACACCACTGGACGCACAGGTGACAGTGTGACTTTATGCCGTGTATTTTTACCATGATAAAAACTTTATTTGAGCCCTGGCCGATTTGGCTCAGCGGTTGAGCGTCGACCTGCGGACCAGAGAGTCCCGGGTTCGGTTCCCGCTGGGGGCACATTCCACAAAAAAACAACCAAAAAACCTACTTTATTTTAAAAAATGTTTTTTCTTTATTGATTTGAGAGAGAGAGAAAAGAAGAGGGAGAGAGAGATAGAAACATCAATGAATGAGAACATCGATTGGCTGCCCACTGGGGATTGGACCCACAACCTGGGCATGTGCCCTGACCAGGAATCGAACCAGGGACCTCCTGGTGTACAGGTCGATGCTCAACCATTGAGCGACAATGGCTGGGCATCATAATAAAAATTTTAAAGGAGAGCCCTGGCCGGTTTGGCTCAGCGGTTAGAGCGTCGGCCTGTAGTCCTGAGAGACCCGGGTTCGGTCCCCGCTAAGGACATGTACCTCGGTTGCAGTTTGTCCCGGCCCTGGTTGGTCGTGCGGGTGGCAGCCACTCGATGTGTCCCTTTCACGTCGATGTTTCTCTCTCTCTCTCTCTGTTCCTCTCTCTCCCTCCCACTCTACCTGAACAAAAAATGGAAAAATGTCCTCGGGTGAGGATAAAAAAAAAAAAATTTTAAAGGAGAAAGGTCTGATTCTTTAAAAAAGAGTACTAAGCTCTGGCCGGTTTGGCTCAGCGGTTGGAGTGTCGGCCTGCGGTCCAGAGAGACCCGGGTTCGGTTCCCGCTTAGGGCATGTACCTCGGCTGCGATTTGTCCCCGGTTCTGGTTGGGGTCATGTCGGTAGCGACCACTCGATGTGTCTCTCTGACATCGATGTTTCTCTCTCTCTATTCCTCCCTCTCTCCCTCCCGCTCTGTCTGAAGATAAATGCAAAAATGGCCTTGGGTGAGGACTAAAACAATAAAAAGAAGACTGCTGAGAGCAGTCAGATGGAAGGACGGACACCCTCACCCGCTGTGACTGTCCGTGTAAATGGTGCCGCTTGTTAGCGTCACAGGGCAGCTCCGGGGATGAAAGGGTTTTTATGTGTTGATACTCTCTGACCCAGTCAGTGCACTGGAAATACCTTAAGGGAAGCAAGCTCAAATACAGGCAAAGTTTTATGCAAGAAGAATGTTTTTGCACTATTTTCATAAAGAATTAGAAACAAGCTAAGGTCCAACCATTGCGGGAGGACAGCAGAGAGGACCGGCGCCGTGGGGAGGGCTGCCCGGAGGGGCCACGGCAGCAGGACCCAGGCCTAGGGGATGGCGGGCCCGGGGAGCTACAGCCCCAGGAATTGATCAAGGCAGAGGCTTGGGCAGAGGGTGCGAGGCGTCATTTCGGAAGGAGGAGTCATTTACAAGCACACGTATGCACGTGAATAAACATTCTGTACATTGAAGAGTAGAGCATTGTCCTCACAAACATGGGCTTTGGACCGGAACAACTGGGTTCAAGTCCTGGCTCCAGCACTGCTGTGAAAACGTGGGCTCACCTGCGTTCAGGTGGAAACCTAGACGGTTTCCTGCGCGTCCAGACGGGAGCCCGGCGGCGCACCACGTGAACCGAGTGCGAGCGTCTGATGCGGGGACACGTAGGGAGCCCTGCCAGGGGCGGACAGTCAACGTTGGCTTTAGCGATTAGTAAACGGAGATGTTCCCAACCTCAAGCAAGTACAAAACCTTCCTCCCCATCTTTTCTTCTGTCTGGTTTTATTGCGTCTTTGGTTTTATACCTCACCAGCTGTCGGTCTCGTGGGATGGTCTCCCTGTGCCCCAGCAGGACAGCGGGGCTGTCACCTGCCTTGGAATGGACTGGGCTGAAGTGAGTAACTTCTCTTAAACAGCGGCCGGCAGGGCCCGGCAGACAGAGAAACACGTTGGATATCTTGGCCTCTGTGGCCATCCCAGAGGGAACCGCCGGAGACCGGGACCCTCGCTGACCCTTGTTGCCACAGCCGGCTCACTTCTGACCCCACAATTTGTTTTCTCTCCCCCAGGGTGAAGCAACACGCCCTCCCAGCCGGGCACAGGCTGGTGAGCCGAGGGAACGCGGTCCCGCGGCGGACACCATGGCCTCAGACGCTGACGAGCTCAGCCCAAGTGGTCAGCTTCCTTCTCTCTGGCTGGTTCCTACTTATGACCTAGAATTGAGGGTGGTGCTGAACCTCGAAGGGGATTGATTAGTGTCCTCAAGCCCCCCAGAGTGGCCAAGGGGAATCCCATCAACCAGGGTCTATGGAGGGCCCTCCTTCCTGGTTCTCTCCCCAGGGTGCTCCTCCCTTGCCCCCCCCCCCCCCCCCCCGCGATGACTCCGAAGGGGCCAGGACAGCCCGCAGAGAGGTGGGAGTCTCATGTCCCCTCTACCGAGAACCTGCTAGTTCCGTGTGGAAACCTTCACCCTCCCTAGCACCCCAACCCTCCTCAGCCATGTTAGGTCTTGACCTATGCTCCCAACTCTAAGCACTTGCTTACGGGTGTGACCGGCTCAGGCAGGAACTTCTGTTGATCTCAAATACTCCTGCAGAGATGGCTGTGTAATCCCCACCCCGCCCCCTTCCCCCGCCCCCGCCATCAGTCAATGCACAGATTTCATGCTCTGGGTCCCCTCCATGGAGGCCCTGGTTTCCTTTCTCCCTCAGTGAATGAAGCAAGAAGAAGGAAAAGCAACCCTCCACCCTCCACCCACACATGTCAACACTGCATTGTCTTGGCAATGAAATCACCCCACAGGAAGCCCGGGGAGAGGAAAATACGGGTTCTTGTTGCAGGCTAAGGGAGGTTAGGACAGGTCAGAAGCCAGGAACTCCTGGGCAGGCTCTGGGGTCCTTGAGGGGGGCCTGGAGCTGGTGGGTTTCGGAGGATAAACAGGACAGGTCTCTTGTTTAAGAAATGCATCCGAAGGTGCCAAAGGGGAGCCCTGGCCCCTGAGACCAGCCTGGAGGGGAGAGAGGGGACTAATCACAGGATTAGAGCTGAAAGCCCCCCCCCCCCAAAGACACCTCTCCACTGCCCATCTTGGAGCATCTGTGAGGAGCGGGAAGACTCCTCTCTGCATGAAAATTTTACTCAATCAGTGGTGTGTGGTCTGAGATAAGATTTTTAAATAAAAAACCAACAGGTAAAGTGTAGGGTAGAATGCAGAAATCACACAAGGGTGGACACGTAGGGCTTCGAAGTACCGCCAAGCAGTGCCCGTCCGCTGGCCTCGGACTCGGCCCTTGCGCTGCCTGCTCGCTGGCGTGGCCGGTAGGTCACCTGAGTTTTGCTTTCCTTTTTGTGAAATGAGAATCAGCCACTTGTGTGTATTTAGCAGGGAACACATTTCCTCTGCACACACAGAACACACACTCGTCCCGTCTCTCACCTGCAGCTCCGTAGTCTCCCACATTTCTGGCCACTCACTTGGGTAGCGTCTCACTCTGCCCTCACGTGGCATTTCCTCTGGGCAGAGAGGCCATTTCTGGTGTCTCTCCCTCTTCTCCTATGACCTCTTTTAACCCTACTTACTTCCTTAAAGTACTTTCGAAATGCAGCCATGTGCGGGGTCAGGGCTTCAGCATGTGAATTTCGGGAGGGACACAGCTCAGTCCATGACGCCAGGTGATGACATCCAAAGTGCCCAGGTGACAGCTGCCAGTGGACACTGACATCGAACCACCTTATTTATTCTCAATACCATTTGTGTTCCACCACGATTTCTTCTAACCTATTCTTTTTTTCTTTCCATCTAGAGAGCAAAGCCTTTCTTTATGCCATTGAGTTTTTGATGGACCCGAGGGACACAGAGAAACTGCAACAGCTGCTCAATGAGGAAACCTGGGGGGGACTTGTGGCTGCAGTCAGTTTGTCCAGGTAACCCCAAGGATGCCTGCATTGCCACCCAGCTCTCCCCCCGATCTAGTTTCCTAGGGCAGGCACCTCCTCCAGGCAGGATCCTGTGGTTGAGGTTGAATATATTCCTTCTCAACAGTCATGAGAACTATTTCCTTCAGATCATCTGTTGGCAGAGAATGACCTCAGGGTGAGAAGAGAAGGAACTTGCAGGGAGACGGTCACGTGAAACTTAACCTCTCTCTGTCTTATTTATCTGTTCATTTTCATTGTGAGGAAAATAAGATAATGCATGTTACCTGTTTAGCCCAGCGACTGACACATATTAGGTGCTCAGTTAACATAAAATTTTATTTATTTATTTATTTATTTTAATTTTTTTTCTTTATTGATTTCAGAGAGAGAGGAAGGGAGAGGGAGATAGAAACATCGATGAGCCCTGGCCGGTTTGGCTCAGCGGTTAGAGCGTCGGCCTGCGGTCCGGAGAGACCCGGGTTCGGTTCCCGCTAAGGGCATGTACCTCGGTTGCAGTTTGTCCCCGGCCCTGGTCGGTTGTGCGGGTGGTGACCACTCCATGTGTCCCTTTCACGTCGATGTTTCTCTCTCTCCCTCTCCCTCCCACTCTATCTGAACAAAATATCAAAAAATGTCCTAAAAAAAATAAAAAGAAACATGGATGAGAGAGAACATCAACTGGCCGCCTCCTGCATGCCCCCCACTGGGGATCAGCCCACAACCTGGGCGTGTGCCCTGACCGGGAATCAAACCAGTGACCTCTTGGTGCCTGGGTCGATGCTCAACCACTGAGCCACACCGGCCTGACTCTCTTGTGTCTTTAAGAGGCTTCACAAACTCGGATGTGGCCTTGGTGTGCATGCACATGAGCCTGTCACCAGCTAAGGTGGGAGTTAGGCTGGTGACGCCTGAGAGTCGGGGGTGCTGGAGGGTGGGCTGGAGAGTCTGAGGGGAACCAAGGTCAGTAGCAGATCCCCAGCTTCATTGCCAAGTGGGGCCCGTGGCTGGACCCAGCAAACTTCAGCTGGGAGGTCGAAGGGCATCAGGCTTGGCAGAGAGCAGATGTCAGGAAAATGACCTTTAAGTTCCCTCTTAGCTCGGAGGTTTTGGTTGTTTAATTAATTCTAAGTTTCCAGAGTTGCCGAAGCGCAGTCTGAGTGCATGACCCCCAGGACCTCCCTTACTTCTGACACCAGCTGCATCTGGGGGGGGTTCCCTAACCCGCCCTCAGCTCCCGCAGTTTCCTGGAAGTCCCACCGCACTCACTGAGCGCCGTCGGGCCCACTTCTCCTCTTTATTATGGGGAAGGACACGGTTCACCGCCAACTGAGGAGAGCCGCGGGGGCCAGAGTCTGCGGGGGTTTCAACGTGAGGCTGCCCTTGCCCTCAGCGCACTGCGTCCTGTATTCACATGTGACAGTGTGTGAGAAGCCGTGCCAACCAGGGAGCGCTCCCTGTGAGGGGAGCGTGTCCTGGCGCTGGCCGCAAGGGTCAGGAAGGTCTGTCCAGGACGCCATGTCAGGCTCTCACGACAGGGACAGACTGGGCTCACCCCGCATACGGCCACGGGAGCTGGGGGTCTGCGGCCACCAGCAGAGCGAGGGGTCGGGGCTGAAAACTACTAAGGGGAGGTGTGTCTCAGGCAGGGGGTTCTTGCTCAACCGACGGGTCCAGGACGTATGCATCAAAGTTGGGGGATGAGAAATTTGATCCCATATATCAAAGATGATCAGACATTAAAAGTGGGGGCAGTCCTGCCCTGGCCGGTTGGGCTCAGTGGTGAGAGCGTCGGCCCCCGGACCAGTGGCTCACGGTTGGATTCCATCAAGGGCATGTACCTGGGTTTCGGTTGTCCCGGCCCTGGTTGGGTCATGTAGGAGGCAGTCAGCCAGTGTGTCTCTCTCGCATTGATGTTTCTCTCTTTCTTCTTCTCTCTAAGCCTGTTCTTGGATGAGGATTAAAACAAAAATGTGGGGATGTTGCCAAACTGACTGAGCAGGATTCTTGTTAAGACTGTGAGGTACAGGCTGTCAAGGGCAGAAGGTGGAAGGCCAAGGTCAAGGCCTCGCTGAGAAGAAGGCTCAGAAGAGCCTGGCGGGAATTTGGCAGAGTCAGTGCACAGAGGTTCACTGGGACTGCTGCCCACATGGCTGACCTCCGTCTCCAGCCCCGCCTGGAGGTCTAACTCATGCCTGTAGTTTCCAGTTCCTTCGTAGGCCAGACCTGATACCGCATGGCCCAAAGCCTCCATCACACATCACCTTGTCAGACTTTCCCGTGGCCAAATGCCTGGCAAACAATGACACTCCTATTAGTCAGGACATTCTAGGATCCTAGAGGTCACTTCCCAGTAGCCGAGGGCAAAGGGCAGACCTCTCTGTGGTCAGGTTAAGTCTTCGCCACACTCTAAGCTTCTCTAAGTGAAGGTTTTTCTGCCCCAACCCCCTGTTCTGTGCTCAGCCTTGGAGTCCCACTGTGCAGACACTGGCGGGGATGGGTCACCCCTGGTGAGAAGCCGTCTTTATCCAATACTTACCACTGAAGGGCATCTTGCCCAGCCGGTGTGGCCCAGTGGTTGAGCATCGACCCATGCACCAAGAGGTCACTGGTTCAATTCCCAGTCAGGGCACATGCCCGGGTTTCGGGCTCAATCCCCAGTGGGGGCATGCAGGAGGCAGCTGATCGATGTTGATGTTTCTCATTGATGTTTCTGTCTCTCTCTCCCTCTCCCTTCTTCTCTCTAAAAATCAATTAAAAAAAAAAAAAGTGAATACACCTCATTAAAAAAAAAAAAAGAGCATCCTGAGGGGACTTTTCCTGCCCTGGCAGGTTTGGCTCAGCGGTTAGAGCATCAGCCTGTGGTCCAGAGAGACCCGGGTTCGGTTCCCGCTAAGGGCATGTACCTCGGTTGCAGTTTGTCCCCGGCCCTGGTTGGTCGTGTGGGTGGCAGCCACTCGATGTGTCCCTTTCATGTCGATGTTTCTCTCTCTCTCTCTCTCTCCCTCTCAGTCTATCTAAACAAAAAATGGAAAAATGTCCTCAGGTGAGGATAAAAAAAAGAGGACTTTTTCTTATTTATTCCCTGAGTGAATAAGTACTATGGAACATCTACAAAATAGGTGTTTAACGTTGAAAGAAAAATTCCTTACATCTGTAAAATTCTTTTCTACTTGATCTGTAGTCAAAGCCCTGTGATTATGCAGGAAGGATCTTACTGAGCCCATTTTGCAGATAAGCAAACTGCCTTTGCTAATCGCTTGACCTTCATCATTACAGGGATGAGGCAGATGAGCTATATGCAGACTTGAGCCGGCTGAAGAGACTGATGGCCACGGAGGACAGAGACATGCCCTCGAAAGACCAGCTGCACAGGGAGCAGTTTCTGAGCGAGTTTCGGCAGGTACAACAGAAGCTTGAAGAGCGCATAGGGATGCTCTACGCCCTCGCAGACCAGGTGGACAAGATGCACAGGGACTGTACCATCTCCAAAGTAGTGGCCACGTCCACCAACGTTGTGTCTGGCATTCTGACCATCGTCGGCCTGTCTCTGGCACCTGTGACGGCAGGGGCTAGTCTGGTGCTTTTGGGAACTGGGCTGGGACTGGGGGTCGCAGCCTCTGTGACCCATGTGTCCACCAGCATCGTGGAGCACTCCAAGAACGTGTCAGCGAAGGCTACAGCCAGGCGCCTGGTGTCAGGCGACATGGACTCAGAGAAGGTGGTCACAGAGGTCCTCCGTTTCAGCACACCCCACGTTGCTTCCTTGGCGAAGAAATGTGTCGCGTCCCTGCTGGCCCTGGTGAGCAACGTCCGTGCCCTCAAGCTGGCCAAATCCAACCCTGTCTTAGCAGCCCAGGCCAACTTGTTCATGAAGACGGGGGTGGCCACGACCTGGAGCAGCGAGCAGCTGCAGAAGGCATTTGGAGGCACGGCTCTGGCGATGACCAAAGGGGCCAGGGTCTTCGGTGCAGCCACTGCGGGGCTGTTCCTTCTGCTGGATGCGATCTACCTGGTGAAGGAGTCGGTGCACTTGCATAAGGGCGCAAAGGCGCAGTCGGCTAAAGACTTGAGAGAGCAGGCCCGGGAGCTGGAAAGTAAGTTGAAGAACCTCAGCAACATTCACAAAATCCTGCAAGAGGAACGGATCCCCTGATCCCCAGACCGCGCAGGGAGCAGGGACGTGTGTGGGACAAAAGCGTGGAGGTGACTTCTTAGAGGGAAAAGGAGGGCGCGATACAGCTGGTGGAACTGGTGTCGAGGAGTTTGGTGCTCCTGTAGCTGAGCACAGCCAGGGAGGGGCTCATGCAGGTGGGCCAGCGAGACGGACGGAACCTGGAGCCTGGAAGAAGGGACAGGAGAGCGAGGAGAAACTTCATTTTGGACCAAAAAAGACATTGGGGTCATGAATAAAGGGAGTGACATGGAGGAACAAGCAGTGAGAAGGCCAGAATGACTGAAAAGTGAAAATGAGAGAAAACCAAGGGGTGGAATGGTTGGACGGTGGAGGTGACTGCCCCTCGGTTGGCCCTCCCGTGGTTGGCGTCTCTCCCTGCTTTCCAGTTCCAACGCGCCCGTGTCTTCCAGCAGGTTTCTCTGAGTCAGGCAGTGACTTCTTTTTTAAAAAACACTTTATTCTTTTCAATCACACTTGACATACAATATCATATTAGTTTTAGGTATACGATATAGTGATTAGAAAGTGATCACCCGGTAAGTCTGGCACCCATATGACCCCATTTACGGTTATTACAGTTTTATTGACTGTAGGTGGTGACTTCTTGATGATGCTGATGATGATGGGGGGGTGTGATGGTGGTGGTGATGATGTTGCTGTGGGAGGGATGACAGCGGAGCGGGTGGGACATCGGACACGTTGCTGGTGCTCTTTGGGACCAGGGTGCTCCAAGAGACCATTGAACATTCCAGAGGAACGCCAAGCGCCGTGTTGGAACAGTGGTTGATTTGAAAAAAGAAAGAAACCCGACGCGGGCAGCCAGTCTACCAGAGTGGGCCATGGGGCACGGCCTCTCCGTCAGTCTGCGGGGGTGGGCGCTGGACACGGTGATCTTTTATTTTCTTTTTACTTTTTAAATCCTCACCTGAGGATATTTCTTCATTTATCTTCAGGTAGACTGGGAAGGAGGGATGGAGAGAGAGAGAAACATCAATGTGAGAGAGACACATTGACTGGCACCTCCCGAATGACCCGGACCAGGGCCGGAGAACTAAGGTATGTGCCCTTGACCAGAGTTCAACCCACAGTGGTTTGGGCCGCGGGCTGATGCTCTAACCGCTGAGCCAAACCGGCCAGGGCCAAGGTGGTATCTTAGATCCGCCTGTTTCTCCCCATCTTGTGTTCTGTAGACTTTGGCTCAACAAACACGGACCAATACACTGAGCCTTTGTAGTGCGGATTCGTGGCTCATCCGGGCCCTGGGTTCCTGTTTCCCTTTCTCGTGAGCCTGTCCGCCAGGGTCCCAGGAAGCAAACTCCCGTTGCTCCTCCTGCTCGCTCACTGGGCTCCCACTGTCCGTCTAGTCATGTCCCTGAGACCTCAGCGCCCCCTCTGCGCCGCTGGGACGCCTGGGGAAGCTTGTGCACATCTGGCTGGGGCTGAGCACGGGCGTGTTCCTCCCCCAGCAGCTGGGACCCAGGACTGACTGGCACACGAGGCTGGTTAAGATCAGAAGGGCTTGCCCTGGCCGGTTTGGCTCAGCAGTTAGAGCGTCAGCCTGCAGTCCAGAGAGACCCGGGTTCGGTTCCCGCTAAGGGCACGTACCTCTGTTGCGTTTTGTCCCCGGCCCTGGTGGTCGTGTGGGTGGCAGCCACTCGATGTGTCCCTTTCACGTCGATGTTTCTCTCTCTATCTCTTCCTCTCTCTCTCCCCCACTCTATCTGTGCAAAAAAATGGAAAAATGTCCCCAGGTGAGGATAAAAAAAAACACATCAGAACAGAAGGGCTTGTTTGCAGGGGTGAGAGAGGGTCATCGATAAACAGAGAGACAGAGGGAGACAGTGAGAGACAGCCAGACAGCATATATCCTCTCCGAAGCTATCCTCACATTTCACCTCCTTCTAGAGCTTCCAGAATGGCCTTCTTGAGTTTACCGTGTGGTACCGCCCCTGCCTCTAGCTGTTCTCCACGCTGAGCCTGAACAGCCCTCGGGAACTCAGATCTTATCCAGCGCCTGCTTCCAGCTCCTCACTGGCTTCCCACCGCGCTGCAGCCTAAAGCGACCTGCTGTCGCCTGGCGGCCGAGGGCAGGGCCCAGGCAAAGCTCCCTGGGGTTCATTTGGGAAGTGATGCCCGGCAGCCGGACTGAGACCCAGGGCAGTGAAGCAAGACAGGACGGAAACAAGACATGTTCTTGATTTTTGTTATAACCCAGTAATTCTCCATCCGCTAGAAGAAGGAACCTCCCCTGGGTTCCTTGAACCCGAGTTGTTTTTGCAAAAATTCTTGAAGAGGAAGGTATGCATCAGCCATGACCACAAGGGTATTGACCATGAGCTTAACTAGTCAGGAGATGCCAGACGGGGCAATGAGACATTCAAGGCTAGGGTCTAGTAAATGTTAAGAAATATAAAATAAACAACGTGTGCAGTTACTAACTGCTGATATCTGTTTCTGTACACGCAGCTTGCTTGCTCTGCTAAACTCTTGAGTAACCCCTGTCCTATATAAGCAACCCTCCCCCTGAGCTCGGGGCTGCGGTTCTCTGTGTAGGTTGGCTGCAGTCCCTGCGCAGGTAATAAAGCTCCTAATATTCAAAATTACTTTGTGTCCGAGTGAGGTTGATTCTCCTGGGTTACAACAATTTTGTCGCCCATGTGGGCGACTGAGTCTGCGGACCTTCTGAGGAGTCTTCATGGCCTCAGACTCACCCTCTGCAGGGAGAAGAGAGGGAAGCGTCTGGCATTGCTCCCACCCCCAGCTGGCTTTCATTCTCTGGATTTCCTACCTGTGGAGCAGGTGCCAGACCGGCTTCCACGGCTGGTGCCCAGGGCAGAGAGCAAGACACTCAGGACACGCGACATTCCCCTAGGAAGTCCCCTAAGTCACTCGCAAGGGGCCTCGGGGCCATGCATGTCCTTCTGAATACAGCCCCTTGCAGGAGACTTTGCTCAGTCCCTCTGGGTCTCTATCAGCCAGTGTTTCCCTGAGGCCTTCAGTCGATTCTTCCATTTCTTCCTGAAGTCCGATCACCCGACACATGTGCCTCACTTCTTTGTCATTCTTCATCAGTCCTTGGATAATGGCGTTTTCATGGATTTCTCCCGGGCACTGAGTGTTTCATGCGTATGAAACAAGGAGGTGCGGCAGAGACTGCAACCAGCACTGACTGTTGCTGCCAGGGGTGTGACCACGGTCCGATCCTGGAAGGGGCAGGGCCCCAAGAGGAGGAAGGGACATCTAACTCCCACGAAGGGAACAGGCGTGGAGGACGTGATCAAAGGCACTTTCTCAAGGGGTTTAGTAAGAACTACAGAGGGGCCCTGGCCGGTTTGGCTCAGCTGTTAGAGTGTCGGCCTGCGGTACAGAGAGACCCGGGTTCGGTTCCCGCTAAGGGCGCGTACCTCGGTTGCAGTTTGTCCCCGGCCCTGGTTGGTCGTGCGGGTGGCAGCCACTCGATGTGTCCCTTCACATCGATGTTTCTCGTGCTCTCTCTTCCTTTCTCTTTCTCCTGCTCTATCTGAACAAAAAAAATGGAAAAATGTCCTCGGGTGAGGATAAAAAAAAAAAAAAAAAAAAAAAAAAAAAAGAACTACAGAGGGGCCTGGCTGGTGCGGCTAGTGGTTGAGCATCGACCCATACCCCAAGGGGTCACTGGTTCGATTCCCGGTTCGATTTCTGGTCAGGGCACATGCCCAGGTTGTGGGCCTGATCCCCAGTGGGGGGCATGCAGGAGGCGGCCAGTCGATGTTCTCTCTCATCGATGTTTCTATCTCTCTCTCCCTCTCTCTTCCTCTCTCTCTAAAATCAATAAAGAAAAATAATTTTAAAAAAAGAACTACAGAGGGACAGCTAAGCGCAGAGCAGGTCTGAGCAGGGAGATCAGAATGAAGTATTTCAGAAGTTGCCCTGGCCAGTTTGGCTCAGCAGTTGGAGCCCTGGCCTGCAGACCACAGAGTCCTGGGTTCGGTTCCCACTAGGGGCACGTACCAAAAAAAAAAAGAAGTAAATGTATGAGTTTCTAGGTGCCAAAGATGTCGATGGGGAGGAAAGACTGGCCTGCACCCCGAGAAGCCCATGCAGGAGGACACTGGGGGTACTGGGAGGAAAAAGGGGTTGAAGAAGATGGGACACACTCAAGGGGCCTGGGATGAGAGCCGCGGGTATTCGGGCCAGAGTTAGGTGTTCGGTGGGTGGGAAAAGGCCTCCCCCATGGACTCGCCCGCTCCGGGAAGTGATGGGGCTGGACACTTTCCCCAGTGGAAGCTTCTGGCAGACCCCAAACTTCTCGGTTTCTTCTCTCTCAGTACGGTTGGCCCCACAAGGTGGATTCCAGAAGCGTATCTTGGGAAACCAAGGTCTAAGTCTCAACGTAAAAACACAGGACAAGGAAGGGAGGCACTCGGACCCAGAGAACGGGGTTAACCCTGTCCACGGTGGAGCAGGGACAGGACCGACTGAAGCAAGCAGGGGAGATGATCTCTGGGAGACACCAAATGAGACAGGAGAGACCGAGGCCACAAGCTGTCAGAGGCGGGTCTCATTGCGCGTGGGAAGCGCTGCGGGGAGGAAGGTCCCTGCTGCCTTGGAAGCCACACGATTACCAAGGCCACGGAGCTCAAAGGCCACGGAGCTCAAAGGCCACAGAAACGGCTTCGTAGCTTCAGGAAGGAGCAGCTGAAGGGGGAGCCCTGGTCTCCTAACCAGAGTTGCACCCAATCCACCTTGACTTTGAATTCCACAAGTCTGTCGCTTGAACCTTTCCGAATCCTCCTCCTGCCTGAGCAGGCGCCAGAGCCTCAGGTCCGAGGAACATCTGAAAGATGGATCGGGATGTGCCTCTGTCCCGTGGCCATGTCTGCCCCTCTGTCTCCAGCCGCCACAGTGGCCCTGGGCTCCAGCCCCTGGTCTTCAGGCCAGAAGCTGGTGGGCTTTTCCTCACTCAGCAACAATCAAGCATGCACTTTCTGCTGAACCCCTGAATCTGCACTTCACTCCCCTCAAAATCTCTGCTTTCGCTCCTTCCCCGGAGCCCCGAGGGGTTCTCTGGTACTTGGGTCGTTGGCAGAAGAGTCCACTTCTTAGGAGCTTCATTGAAATTCTTTTTCAGACTTTGTTCCTTCGCTGACTTACTGTGTGATGCTGAGCAAGTCGTTGCCCTGGACTTTGCCTCAGTTTCCCCTCCTCCACAATGAGAGAAGTACATGGTAAAGAAGTAAATGAATTGCAAACGGTGGCATGCCCTTCCGATGTAACAGTACCCACGTCTGTGACCCCCACAGGACAGTAAGGGTCCAGGGTGACATTGATGCTAGTGAGACAGGCCCTCTGGGGAGGGGGAGCCTGGGCCTCTGTGTTCCAGGCCCCTACCCCCTCCCCCGGGGAGGGGAATTGGAACGGTGAAGACCAATGACTTCGGAGTCCCACCTGGGTTTCTCTTCTCTCTGGGACCTCGGGTAAGTTGTTTTCCAATCTGAGCCTCGATTTCTTTCTTTATGAAGCAGGTACCTCCTTCCTCGAGGGGCTGTGACTCTAAATCCGAAACAGCTCATAAAGCCCTCAGCATAAATCTTCGACAGACAGCGGGTGGCTGCTCTCCGGAGCCAGCACAGGGCCTCCCGAGTGGAGTGTCCGTGACGCCTGCCCTCCCTCGGCGTCCTGGCTTCCAGAGAAGGATGTGTAGTCAAGCAGAGATGCGCTGCTGCGGAAGATTCAGGTTTGCTGTGAACAGGCCCTGTGTCCGTCCAAACGCTGTTGTTCACCAACATGTGCTTTGTAACTTCTACAGTTTTGTTTTGTTTTTAATCCTCACCCAAGAATATATCTTTATTGATTTTAGAGAAGAAAGGAGAGAGCGAGAGAGAAACATCGATGGTTGCCTCCAGTACGTGCCCAACCAGAGATCCAGCCCACACCTAGATACGCACCCTGACCAGCAATTGAACCTGCAACCTTTCGGTGTACGGGACAAGGCTCCAACCAGCTG